CGGACCAATAAGCAAACTCGCCGTTGACTGGTTTATTGGTGGGGCTAATTACCGATGGACCCGTTGTGTCCATCATCACCGAATCATCCTTATCGGGGGCAACAGAGTCGCGAACTGGTTTTGGAGTAGCATCTGGAAAGAACCCTCGCGCAGGAGAGCGAGGGTCAATTGGAGCTGATTTTCGTTCCGTTGATGGGTCCAGTTCGCGCTCACTTTTTCGGCCCTTGGCTGCTGAGCGACGCTCAGCCAATTCCGTTACTACCGCCGTCGTGTCGGGGTCGGTCCACGGGTGGCCTAGAAGTTCAACCGCAATGGCCCACACGTTAGCCAGAGGACGTAGTTCCAGTAGTAAACGAGGCTCGGCCTCCAAAGTAAAATCCCAATACCGATTGAAAAACGTAGTCTCCTCCATCGGGTCGTCCAAAGGAAAAATCACCAGAGGATCTTGTACCGCCAGCCCAAAAATCAGTCCTCGGACATAGACGACGAGCTCCCGATCGTTTCCAATAAATTTGTCCTTGATGTCTCAGTCAAGCGCAGCTCGAATGCGTTGCTCGACCAAGTTCCAGTCCCCATCACAAATCTGTAGTAGCTTCTCGGCTGCTTCCTCCCAGGATTCAGTCGCCGGAGGATCTACGAAATTTTCAGAAAACCCTTCGCACAAAGGCCAGTGGAAATTGGGCTCGTTCTCCCATGCCGAGAACAGCTCGTTTCCAATGAAAATGCCTTTGTTGTGCATTGCGATGGAGACAGACAGATGCGATTTGTGAATTGTAAGGGTGTATATGTGTTGGAGCAACTTGGAGCGGATGTTGAACCAGGTGCCAAAGAGACAAGTGCGATGTATCGTCGCCAGTTAAGCAGTGTAAATAAACAACCCCATTTCGAACTTTCTTCAAAACAGAATGGATATGCTGGACTCGGGATGACTGCGAAGATGGCAACGGTTCGAAAGAACAAAGAAGGATTCACTCCAAGACAAGTCAAGGCTGCAATGGAAGCGAGAAGTGCGATGCACATACTCAATGCTCCGAGCACCAAAAGTCTGAAGTATGCGATCCGATCTGGTCTCATCAAGGACTGTCCTATCACTGAAGAAGCGATCAACCATACCAAAGCAATCTTTGGACCTGACGCATCTACATTGAAAGGCAAGTCAACAAGACCAACTCCGAAGAAGACACATGATGACTTCTTCAGTCCACCAGAGGAATTGTACCAACACAATCGAACAATTACCGTCTGTATTGATCACATGGAGATCGGAGATGCAAAGTTACTCACCTGCATTGATACCACTGTGAGTTATCGCTCATGTATTCCCATGCAGAACCTCAAGACTGACCCTGTATTTGACGCATTGGATAAGATATTCCGCCGCTACAATAAGGCAGGCTTTCATGTCAAGACGATCAAGTGTGATCGAGCTTTCATCCCTCTGACGGATGATATGCTAGATGATATGGGTGTTACTATTGACCCGACTGCAGCTGGAGACCACGAGCCTACAGCTGAGCGAAACAATCAAACCCTGAAAGAGAGAGTTAGAGTAGCTCTTGCACGATTACCCTACAAAGTGGTACCAAAGGTGATCACTGAATGTCTTGGACGTTGAGTCGCCGAGCTATTGACTGTCTTTCCCCAGAAAGACAGTATTTCCTCACATTTCAGTCCGCAGCAACTCATTGATAATGTCAATATCAACTACAAGAGTGACATGGTTGCTGAGCTTGGACAGTATGTT